GAAGAGAAGACAATACGGGGGGGCGAAAACGAATCACTTTTCTGTCAAGCGCGAACCAGCTCGTGATTGGCCGATTGGAAATGCGTAAGATAGAGATAGAGATAAAAGAGTAAGAAGTCAGTTGTCTCCTCTTCCTCTTAGCAACAAACTAACAACCCAAGTCTTCACCGGGGTGATTCTCCCCGGTGAAGCAAACGAACTCTCTACGGTGCTCCCTAGTGATCACTCATACGGTCCGGTGTGTTGGACTGGTGGAGGTGCGAGTTCAGAAACTGTATTTGTTTGCGAAGTGGGAGAAGCGATAGAAACTGAAAACAAAATAAAAATCTCTCGGGTGAGTTTGCTTTTGTCATAGTGCGAGGTGTCTTTTCAACTCATCACCCTGCTTACACTGGGGAGAATGGCATCCCTGCCCCAAACCCGTTCCACCTCTCAGAGTCGAAAATGATGACGATCGGCTTTTAATCACCCCACAGGAGAAAGCAAATGACATCGGTGAACATGTTGCTTCATCGCATTTGCTTGGGTCTACTTTCTAAATTTTGCTCGAAGATCAGGTTGCCCAACACGTTCAAAACCTAGATGCCTCCCCGTGTGTTGTGACTCCAGAGGATATGATTACAGTACAACAGATTTGCTCAGCGTTGAAATGCACCAAGAACATGAAGGCTCCCAGGTTTGACAGTATATTCAACTTGATCTTGAAGAGACTCAACATGAAAGTGCAGTCTCTTCTAACCACTATCTTCAACAGATGCTTGGAACTGCACTACTTTCCAAGCATCTGGAAGACAGCGAAAATCATACTTATCCGCAAACCCGGGAAGGACCCAACGCTAGCTTCAAGCTACAGACCAATCAGCCTCCTTTCAGCGCTGAGCAAATTGTTCGAGAAACTCATTCTCAATGGTTTGCTCAAATTTGTCGAGGAAAACAACATTCTCCTTCCAGAACAGTTCGGGATCAGAAAGAGGTACTCCACCAATCACCAGCTAGTACGGGTGATGAATAACATCCGAAGTAACAAAGCTGTATTCATGGCCTTGCTAGACGTTGAAAAGGCCTTTGACAATGTTTGGCATGACGGACTTGTGTACAAGCATTGGAACTTCAAGTTTCTATTACACCCGGTTAAAATCACCCGCAAAGGTCATTTAAGGTATCGTTGAATGGTTGTCTTTCAGACACGTTTTCCATCCCAGCAGGAGTCCCGCAAGGCAGTCTGCTGGGTCCCTTGTCCCAGTCCCTTGGTTTACAGCATTTACACTTCCGACATTCCTCCCCTCGGAGACGGTTACGTGTTTTTCCTGTTCGCAGATGATACCGCAATAGCCGTCAAAGGAAGGATGCCTCGCGAAATAACTAACAAACTGCAACGATGCCGAGTATTAGTACAAGACACTGAAGAAGTCTGAACATTGTAGACGAAATACGCGTATCTGTCAAGGATAAGCAAATAAGGTAGTGGAATTGAATGGAAATTACTAATCCTTCTCTCTCTCATTATATTATCAAACAATCATGTTCCTCCATTGCCAATCGCCCAAACTGAAACCGGCTCCATCTTGTACTGTAATCATGGATTGCACAAGGGTTGAGTGGTCCGCCGAAGTAACCTATCTCGGGATGTTGTTTGATGAAAAGCTCCTATTCCGCTCGCATGTAGAGAAAACTGTAGTCAAGTGTCCCGCCTTGGTTAGATGTCTGTATCCGCTGATTTGCCGGGTGAACAAACTGGCTGTCTACAAACAAATCATAGCACCTGCGATCCTCTACGCAGCTCCGGTGTGGGAATCATGTGCACAGACTCACTGGAACAAAATCTAGGTCGCTCAGAATAGAGTGCTGAGTATGGTACTTGATCGTCCTTTCGACACTAGAATAACAAAAGAGAGCTCATTGGATGGAGACCAGTCATAATCGCAGGAGATTTCAATGCTTCGGCAGTGGATTGGGGGAGCAGGTATACCAACGCAAGAGGGTATAGCCTGCTGGAAGCTCTGGCAAAATTTAACGTCTGTCTGGCCAACTTAGGAACCATCAGCACCTTCCGCAAAGATGGTAGGGAATCCATTATCGACGTCACTTTCTGCAGTACGTCGCTAATGGCAAATATGAACTGGAGAGTGTGCGAAGAGTACACCCATAGTGACCATCAGATGATCTGGTACAGTATCGGCGAACGGACACCGGTGGAAATGCGGAGGGTGAAAGTAAGCGAGCGGAAGTGGAAGACGAAGGCATTCAATAAGGATCTCTTCATCGAAGCTCTAAGGGTAGACAGCAGCGTCCCGGGCCTAAGCGCGAACGAGTTGACCGAATCATTAGCAAGGGCATGTGACATAACTATGCCGAGAAAACTGGAGCCAACGAACAGGCGGCATCCAGCTTACTTGTGGAACGAGGAAATTGGCACCATCCGTGCTACTTGTCTTCTAGTCAGAAGGCGTGCTCAGAGAAAAAGAACAGAAGCAGACAGAGAGGAGCGCAGGGTGGTGATCCGAGAGGTCAGGGCTGCTCTGAAACGAAAGATAAAGCTGAGCAAGTCAAATAGTTTCAAGGAGCTGTGCCGCAACGCCGATGCCAACCCCTGGGGCAACGCATACCGAGTCGCGATGGCGAAGATCAGAGGTCCAACGATGCCGGTTGAAATGTGTCAAAACAAGCTGAAAGTCATCGTGGAAGGACTTTTCCCACAGCATGACCCAACGAACTGGCCACCTACACCATATGGCGAGGAAGATGAAGACAACGTTGAACAAGTCTACAACGAGGAACTCATAGCAGCAGCGAAAGGGTTGAAGGCGAATAAAGCTCCCGGCCCGGATGGAATTCCCAACGTGGCGTTGAAAGCGGCGATCCAGACGTCCCCGGACATGTTCAGGATAGTGCTGCAGAAATGTCTGGACGAGGGTCAGTTCCCTGATAGGTGGAAGGTACAAAAGCTTGTGCTGTTGCCGAAGCCCGGAAAACCGCCGGGGGATCCTGCATCGTATAGGCCAATATGCTTGCTGGATACTGTCGGAAAGCTCTTGGAGAGGATCATCCTGAACAGGCTGATGAAATGCACGGAGAGTGAACATGGATTGTCGGAGAGGCAGTTTGTATGCCGGAAAGGGCGATCGACGGTGGATGCAATTCGGACAGTGATTGACAGAGCCGAGAAAGCTTCCAAACAGAAACGGAGAGGAAATCGATACTGCGCCGTGATTACGATTGATGTGAAGAATGCATTCAATAGCGCCAGCTGGGAGGCCATCGCCAAGGCGCTCCATAGAATGAGGGTTCCAAACTACCTCTTCAGGATTCTAAGTAGTTACTTCCAGAACCGGGTACTGGTCTACGCGACAGAACCGGGGCAGAAATCGCTTAGAATCACGGCGGGAGTTCCACAAGGCTCCATTCTAGGTCCCACGCTGTGGAACGGAATGTACAATGGCTTGCTGACGCTCAATCTGTCCAATGGAGTTGAGATCGTTGGCTTTGCGGACGATGTCGTCTTGACGGTAACCGGTGACACGCTGGAAGAAGTGGAAATGCTTGTGGCCGAGGCGATAGATACGATTGGTAACTGGATGCAAGAAGCGAAGCTGCAGATAGCCCACCACAAAACAGAAGTGATGTTGGTCAGTAACTGCAAAGCAGTGCAGCTGGCAGAAATCACCGTTGGAGAGCACACTATTGTTTCGAAGCGCGTGCTGAAGTATCTAGGATGATTCCAATCGGCATTCCCTTGGCGGAGGACTACGAGTGCTATATGACGAGAGAAACCAGAGGAGTTCGAAAAATGGTGAGAACGGAGTCGATGGCTAAGTGGCAGCAGAGAACGGTAGATGGACACACAGGCTAATACCGACTCTTTCGACCTGGGTGAACAGGAAGCATGGAGAAGTCAACTTCCACTTGACGCAGTTCCTGTCTGGTCATGGCTGCTTCAGGAAGTACCTGCATCGGTTCGGACACACAACGTCACCCTTCTGTCCGGAGTGTGGGAATGTGGAAGAATCACCAGAGCACGTGGTCTTCGAATGTCCTCAGATTTTATGCTGTGCGAGAGGATATGCTCGCCCTTAGCACGGAGAATGTCGTCGAAGAAATGTATTGAGAGGAGGGCACCTTTAACGCCGTCAGCAGAGCAGTAACGCAGATCATGTCAGTGCTGCAGCGAAAATGGCGAGAAGACCAACTAGAAAGTAGTAATGTGCTCACACAAGTGTGAACTGAAAGCCGAAGCCGGGAGAACTCTCCGTCAGAGTAGGGTGAATCCACCACCGGGGATAACCGAGTAGAACGTGACGCTGGGAGCTAAATGGCTCACAAATTGGAGAGACGATCAGCGAACTGGAAGCGCCAATTAGCTGAGGTAAATTGAGGTGTGTAATTATTCTTGTACCGAATTTTGCGAGTGTAAGAGCAGCAGCAAAAGACAGCAGCAGTAGCAACAGCAAGAACAGCAGCATTTTGGAAGTGGAACAGCAGCAGTAAAAGACAGCAACAGCATTGGAATCAGCCGCAGCCGAAAACACAGCTAAGTGTGTATTGCGGAACAACCCTATCCAATTGAGCTTCATTTTCTCAACCACATCGAAACATTCAAACGGCCGATGAGATCACTCAATATTGTAAAAAGTGGGGCTACTCACTAAGTGAGAAAAATGATCCTCTATTTTCCCAAAAAAAACTGCTTGAATATGATGGAAATTTTACTCAGTCTATTAAATATTAAAGCAGATTTTTGTGGAAAATCTAGAATAATGTTAACCCCACTTTTTAAGATTTTGCGTAAAATTCGACTCAATTTTGAGTCGATCCCATCGGCCGTGCTCGCAAAATCTTGCACACAAGCTTGTGCGAAAGATATTTTCCACTACTGATCAACAGGTGGCGTGTCGTGTCTTATCTTATCATGAACTAATGATTAAGATAAGTTGAGTTTATGAGAGATACGTGCATCGATTTTTGTAACATTTTAGTTTGTTTCAAATTATTTGTGATTGAAAATGGAACGGCACGAAGAAGACATTTTACGCTTAAATCTAAGGATCAAAGAACTGATTTCCCGGAACAACAGCCGTAAGTATGCCAAAGAACGGAAATTGATTACGCTATGAGTAACCCACTAATTCCAATTGCACCATGTTGATAGTGGAAACTCGAAACGAAGAACTTGAAATCGAGAACCGGGCTCTGTTGTCGGAGAATGCCCACCTGAGGAAAACAAATACCGGCGTGCAGCAGTTTAACATCAAGTACCAGACGGAACTTGAGAAGGTGATCACCCAACGGGAACAGCTGTATGAGGCGAACCAAAAACACAAAGAACGCTACCAACTACTGCTGGCTAGGTTTACCGAGCAGAGTGAGAAAAGCAAAATGCTGGAACACAGCCTGCGGGCAGCAGCATCCACAAGGAGGATCAATCACGTGCCGGTGGAGATTATTGGTATGAATGACCGTGGGCGTAAAAAGGGCACTACTTTTATATTTGAGATGATGTGTTTGTCCATAAAATGCGATGTGATGCATCTAACCCCTTAGCTTGCAGACAGTTATTCTATGGGTTCGAAAAGATTGGTGAACTTTAATATGCAACCTTTGACTTTTCCAATGGCTCATTTATTGAAAATCCTTCATACAGTTTTAGTACATTTCTGCCATAATAATTGCATTTCATTGTATCAACTCAATAGCATTAAACACTACCCTAAAGTAATCGGTGACGTTTTCGGAAAATTCTGTAATGTTTTTGGAAATTTCAACTTAAGCGTTGTCCTTCTAAAGAGATTTGTCTTTCTGAACAATTTTACTTGCACAACAAATTGTGCACAAATCAATATCATTGAGCTTGCAAATGCTCATTACAGCTTATCATTATGTATCGAATATGACATCGTTCAAATGGCCGCCTCGGCTTCACTTGGTGGCATGCATCCGAGAGGTCCAATTTTCCATGACTCTGGCGCACAAATCGGACTGAATCTCGTTGATGGCTTGAGTAATGTTGGCTTTGAGGGCATCGGTGGTTTGCGGCTTATTGGCATAGACCTGCAACTTAACATAACCCCACAATAAAAAATCTAGCGGGGTTAAATCACACGATCTTGGTGGACAGTTGACATCGCCTCCGCGCGAAAAAACCATGCCCGAAAATCGCTCATGCAGAATATCGATTGTTTCGTGCGCTGTGTTGCACGTTGCACCGTCCTGTTGGAACCACATTGCATTTACAGTCAGGAATCCTTATTGCCGGGGTAACGGGGGCGTGAATAAGGAACCGCGAATAAGGATACCCACAGCTTATGGGATTTTCACTAATGGGGGCTGTAGTGGATTATCTCATTTGTTTCAATACATAAAGCTATACTGTCTTCGACAAAGTTGCTGTACTGGGTTAGACCAACAAGCCTGTGCAATTGGATTTAGGTTAAATTGGGAACTACGCCGCTAGAGGCGCTTCACTTTTATGTTACTTATGACGGGCGCTATAATATATGGATCATATTTCCAACATAGAATATTTCGTGATCCTGACCATATAGAAAGTTACTGTTTTCAACAAAGTTGTTCAGGTAACCAAGTCCTTTCGGATGGTGGCCATATTAGTTCAGAACTCTCTCACTACGCAGCGCCAGTGTGCATGTGCAATTCCTATGTAAACTGTATCTCGAGAGCCTGGCCATATAGAAAGTTGCTGTTTTCAGCAAAGTTGGGTAGGTGATCAAGTCCTTTTGGATGGTGGCCATATTAGTTCAGAACTCTCTCACTACGCAGCGCTAGTGTGCATGTGCAATTCCTATATAAACTGTATCTCGAGAGCCTGGCCATATAAAAAGTTGCTGTTTTCAGCAAAGTTGTGCAGGTGATCAAGTCCTTTCGGATGATGGTCATATTAGTTCAGAACACGCTCACTACGCGGCGCTAGTGTGCAAGTGAATTTCCTGTATAAGCTGTATCTCGAGAACCTGGCCATATAGAAGGTTACTGTCTTCAGCAAAGTTGTGCAGGTGAGCAAGTCCTTTCGGATGATGGTCATATTAGTTCAGAACACGCTAACTACGCGGCGCTAGTGAGCAAGTAAATTTCCTGTATAAGCTGTATCTCGAGAACCTGGCCATATTGAAGGTTACTGCCTTCAGCAAAGGTGTGCAGATGACTAAGTCCTTTGGGATGATCGTCATATTATTTCAGAACTCTCACACTACGCAGCGCTAGTGTACACATGAACTTCCTTAATATGTTATTTCTCCAAAGCTTGTCCATATAAGATGTTGCTGTGCAATGTGAGAACAGGAACCGGAAAAGGGATGACGTGTAGAGGCCGGAAATCGATGTCAGATGCCATTTTTGAATCCAAGATGGCGGCCATCGGTTCAAGAAAAACTGTCAAATACCCTACAATATGGATATTTTTGGAAAGGGGACGACGTGTAGAGGCCGGAAATCGATGCTAGACGCCATTTTGTAATCCAAGATGGCGACCATAGTTTCAAGAAAAACTGTCAAATACCCTACAATATGGATATTTTTGGAAGGAGACGACGTGTAGAGGCCGGAAATAGATGCCAGACGACATTTTGGGATCCAAGATGGTGGCCATCGGGTCAAGAAAAACTGTCAAATACTCTACAATATGAGTATTTCCGGAAAGGGAACGACGTGTAGAGGCCAGAAATCGATGCCAGACGCCATTTTGGAATCCAAGATGGCGACCATCGGGTCAAGAAAAACTGTCAAATACCCTACCATATGGGTATTTCCGGATAAGGAAAGACGTGTAGAGACCGAAAATCGATGTCAGACGCCATTTTGGAATCCAAGATGGTTGCCATCGTTTCAAGAAAAACTGTCAAATACCCAACAACATGGGTATTTTCGGATAGGAGATGACGTGTAGAGACCGGAAATCGATGTCAGATGCCATTTTGTAATCCAAGATGGCGACCATAGGTTCAAGAAAAACTGTCAAATACCCTACAATATGGATATTTTTGGAAGGAGACGACGTGTAGAGGCCGGAAATAGATGCCAGACGACATTTTGGAATCCAAGATGGTGGCCATCGGGTCAAGAAAAACTGTCAAATACTCTACAATATGAGTATTTCCGGAAAGGAAACGACGTGTAGAGGCCGGAAATCGATGCAAGATGCCATTTTGGAATCCAAGATGGCGGCCATCAATTTAAGAAAAACTGTCAAATACACTACAATGTGGGTATTTCCGGATAAGGAAAGACGTGTAGAGACCGAAAATCGATGTCAGACGCCATTTTGGAATCCAAGATGGTTGCCATCGTTTCAAGAAAAACTGTCAAATACCCAACAACATGGGTATTTTCGGATAGGAGATGACGTGTAGAGACCGGAAATCGATGTCAGATGCCATTTTGTAATCCAAGATGGCGACCATAGGTTCAAGAAAAACTGTCAAATACCCTACAATATGGATATTTTTGGAAGGAGACGACGTGTAGAGGCCGGAAATAGATGCCAGACGACATTTTGGAATCCAAGATGGTGGCCATCGGGTCAAGAAAAACTGTCAAATACTCTACAATATGAGTATTTCCGGAAAGGAAACGACGTGTAGAGGCCGGAAATCGATGCAAGATGCCATTTTGGAATCCAAGATGGCGGCCATCAATTTAAGAAAAACTGTCAAATACACTACAATGTGGGAATTTCCGAAAATGGACGACGTGTAGAGGCCAGATATAGATTCCAGACGCTATTTTGGAATCCAATATGGCGGCAACATGTTTTCCATGGTCACCATAGCCGATCGAACTCCAGACGAAACTAGAACCGCACTACCGTTCATACTGGTGACAACGCTCTGATGAGACAACGAAACCTTACCCCCAAGCTCCTCCCCTGATCCTACCCTTCGACAATGTACCTCTCTTACCTCGAGTAAGCCGCGAGTATTCGGCCCAACTCCTACTAGGCATAGAATTAAGTGAATGTTGTTACAAACAAAGAACAATGAACTATCGGCTCCGTAAAGTTAACGTGATTGAGCCTTCCAAATAAACGAACTAGTTAAAAAAACATGTTTTCCATGTATAAGGCTTACCAAGAATATTGCGTATAATTTATTGTGTATAGCGTATCACTGAGCAAGATCGCAACATAACTACAGATTTATTCCTGGACCCCTCGACAGTGAATATGGTTGATATTTTCATCCACCACCTGGTGCGGCAGAAATCGAGTTAAAACTAAATCATTTCTCCGAGGTCGAAAGTTTCTGCTCATTGGACAGCAATGTTGAACGGAGTGCAAAAATGCAAGATTTGATAAGGGAAGTCGAGACCCATCTCACGGTGTGGAAGAACGAGAGTGACTAGAATGCATAAAACATGACAGCGCTGGTTGGTTCTTTGTTATCGAAAGATAAAATAAAATGTGGAATAAATCTGTAGCTTACGATAGAAAAAACACAAAACAAATCAAAGCATTTTATTGTTTTGGATTCCAAAATAGCGACTGCAATGTATATCTGACCTTTACACGTCGTCCCTTTTCGGAAATTCCTACATTGTAGGATATTTGACAGTTTTTCTTAAAACCGATGGCCGCCATCTTGGTTTTTAAAATGGCGTCTGGCATCGGTTTCCGGCCTCTACACGTCCGGAAATACCCATATTTTAAGGTATTTGACAGTTTTTATTGAACCAATGGCCGTCATCTTGAAATTCAAAATGGCATCTGGCATCGATTTTCACGTCGTTTTCTTTCCGGAAATACTCATATTGTAGAGTATTTGACAATTTTTCTTGACCCGATGGCCGCCATCTTGGATTACAAAATGGCATCTGAAATCGATTTCCGGTCTCTACATGTCATCTCCTATCCGACAATACCCATTTTGTAGGGTATATGACAGTTTTTCTTGAACCGATGGCAACCATCTTGGATTCCAAAATGGCGTCTGACATCGATTTCCGGCCTCTACACGTCGTTCCCTATCCGGAAATACCCATATTGTAGGGTATTTGACAGTTTTTCTTGACCCGATGGCCACCATCTTGGATTCCAAAATGGCGTCTGGCATCGATTTCTGGCCTCTACACGTCGTTCCCTTTCCGGAAATACCCGTATTATAGGGTATTTGACAGTTTTTCTTGACCCGATGGCCGCCATCTTGGATTCCAAAATGACGTCTGGCAACGATTTCCGGCCTCTACACGTCATCCCCTTTCCAAAAATATCCATATTGTACGGTATTTGACAGTTTTTCTTGAACCGATGGCCGCCATCTTGGATTCCAAAATGGCATCTGACATCGATTTCCGGCCTCTACACGTCATCCTTTTTCCGGTTCCTGATCTCACATTGCACAGCAACATCTTATATGGACAAGCTTTGGAGTCATAACATATTAAGGAAGTTCATGTGCACACTAGCGCCGCGTAGTGTGAGGGTTCTGAAATAATATGACC